ACATAGAAGTACTCAAATCAAGAAGCAGATACTCTAGAAAAATTCTTAACCTACTAGAGGATACAAATGAGATACTCTTGTGGAGACAAATAAGACATACAGGAGCTAAAGCTTTACATATTTTTAAGAATACTAATAGCAACAACAAGAGGAATGTAACAGTATTCTTCTCAAGTAAAGCAGATTACTCAAATAGCTCAAAATTCACAGTTTGTTATTATAATAACAAACTTAAGTAGGCTACAATAAGAGCTAACAAACATATAGGTAACAAGATATATACAGAGTTTACCAAAATATCTAGAGTACTACAAGAACAAAGCTCTATAAGTCTGGGAAAAATGAAAGAAGCTGAACAAAACCCAGGTGAAAGATACTTGAAGTACGTATTTAAAGAAGCATAGAATAAAGAAAAAGAAGATACAAAACAAGAAGAACAACTTGTACTAAATAGCTATAAAAATAGTTAGAAAAGAATGGTCCAAAATATCGTGGTGTATATATTAATGAGATGATATGTCCTATATTGAGAGGAATAAAAGAAATTAATTCAAAGTCTATCGAGTCAACTGAGCCATCAACAACATCAGCAGCTACGGAATATACTTCAACCGAATCAGCCGAACAAGTGATTACAAAGAGCATTAAGCAGGTAGTTGCTACATCAGCTAGTGCTTGTGTGGGAGCTGCAAGCTTAGGAATGTCTTTAACAGCAAGCGCATTTCTTTCAAGTTACTGGAAAGAGAGGCCACATATAATTGATAATGATAATGAATTTACTTCTGAAGGAAAATTACCTGACGATTTTAATGAGGATAGTATTAAGATTCCCTCTGAGCAACTTAAATTTACAATAACAGATAAAGAAAAGTTGTATAATCAATTTTATGAACAATGCAAAAATCAGAAATTTATTAAACAGCTATATTATTTAGAAAGAACTTATTTTTAATGATTGATTCAAATAGTTTAATAATAATATTAGTCTTTTTTTATTTTTTTTTATTTTTTTTTTATTTTTTATTTTTACATTATAACAAGAGTTGTACCTCGCATGAAATAAATTATCACGAATTGAAAATTTTATTGATCAGTGATTTTATCAAATGTAAGGTTTCTTTTTTTTATACAGTGAGCAAAATTTTGCCGATTAACAAATGTGTATAGATAATTAGATTAGGTCTTTTTACTATATATTTGCTAGTAAGTAAAAAATCTAAATAAACGATTTTATTGCTTTTTGATGTTATAGCTTATAATGCCACCCCAAAGCATATTTGGAAACATTTTATTCGATTAAAATTAGTAAATGACTTTAAAAAATTGGTGAAGCTGCGGGTCAATGTGAAACTAGAG